AGATCCGCCTGCTTCTGCCTCCCGAGTGCTGGGATTAAAGGCGTGCGCCACCACTGCCCGGCTTTCAATGGAGTTTTTGGTAGCTTTGAACTCATAACAGATTAAAAAGATGTATCTTGTTTACTTAGTCCTTATAGAAGTAATTAGGATACTCCACCCAAATACCCTGAATTTGTACTTCATATCTCTTTTTTGCTCCTGAAGACAAATAATCATGAACTACTCACACAAGCAATAGCAGGATGAGTGTGAAAAGGACAAATGTACATACAGACAGAAGCTACAGTTCCCTGAAGTAAAATATGGCTCCAAGTGTTTACATGCTGAGAGCTCATCAATTTAACCAAATGCCTGATCAGGTGCAGGGAATTTACCATAAGTCCCTCGAGTACTTTTACTAAATATGTCAAAGTTATTGTTTAAAAGCATTATTATGGGGAACAGCAAGAGGTCACACAGGGTAAATCATTTGCCACACAAGCCAAAGGACCCATTTCTCTTAAAAAGATTAATTTTTATTACTTTTAAATCATTTGTATACATGTGTGTTTGGGTGTGTGCATCCGAACCCCAACGTTCATGGAGGTCAGAAGAAGGCATCCCATTTCTTTCTAATGGATCTTCCATCTTCTGTCTTGCTAACACAGTCCTGGTAATCATTATCTCCCCGGACCAACTTGTGAATGCTAGGATGACAGCCAGGTACCAACATGCCTGGCTCTCCATTAGATGCTTTTGCTATGGTTTCTGTCAGACAGTCTCATGTAGCTCAGGTTGGCTCCAAACTTTCTATGTACCCTGATCTTTATTTCCCAAGTGATGAGAATACAGGCATGTGCCATAACTTGTGCCTTTAATCAGACACTTGAAAGAAATTTTGTATATATGTATTTTTCCCTCCGATTACACAAAAAGTACCATTTTAATATTGTTTGGCAAAATCTTATCTCCTTATATTTCCTTCAATAATTTTTCTAGAATCATTAAAAATAACATTTCACCTTTGATTTTCTTACTTTTTAAATATCTGATAATCAACCTATCACACGGGGTGTTAAATGAAACAACATAGCAGCCTATCATGGTAGTCCATGCCTACAATCCCAGTATTTGAGAGGCTAGGTTACATTTAGAGAACTCTTTGACATATAGTAAAACCCAAAGTAGTCATTAAAAATTTAAAAAAAGCAGCAGGTGGTGGTGGCACACACCTTTAATCCCAATGCTTGGGAGTCAGAGGCAAGCAGATCTCTGAGTTCAAGGCCAGCCTGGTTTACAGAGCAAGTTCCAGGACAGCCAGAGCTACACAGGGAAACCCTGTCTCAAAAAAATAAAAATGAAACAAACAAACAAAAAATCAAAATGTTAAAATACATACATACATAGATAAATACAGGGGCTTAAGAGATGACTCTGTGGGTAAAGTGGATACTGTGAAGGATAAGGATCTGAGTCTGGATCTTTAGCACTACATAAATACTAGGCGGACATGGTGATCTAGCTGCAATCCCAGCCCTCAGGAGGCAGAGACAGAGGTTTCCTGGAGCAAGGGGACTAGCCAGATTCTCTAGATGTCACCCTCTGGCACCCACACATATACATTTGCACCTGCATATACATGTGTGCACAAATACATAAGAATATGCATAAACACACACATTTAAAAGATCAAATAAAAAAACCAAAGAAAATTTAAAATCTCCCTTAAAATATCCAAATATTTTATATATCACAGGCCTATGATAAATAATAGCAAAGCACTGGTGAGCACAATACATCTATTTATAAGGCTGCGACAAAACCTTGGTTCTGAACACACAAGCGTATGTGCTTTGGCTGCTCACACCTACTAAAGAGTCACAAATGCAGCCAAAACTTGGAACAAATGCTTATGATTATAAGATGGGAACACTGAAATCTTGTTTATCTTCTTTTAACTCATCTACTTTCAAAACACGTTTTCCCCTTTTTTGGTCATCCTAAAGGAATATTTTTATTAGTAACTTGGTAAAAACATAAAAAGACAAATTTGTTGAATAAGCCTAACTTTTTCCTGCCACTGAAATACTGACTACCCATCATGTGATTGAACTATGTCAGACCGTAAAATACACTTGAAAGCTAGAAAGATGGTTCAGCTGTTAAGAGTATTGCTCTTCCACAGGACCTGAGCTCAATTCCCAGCACCCATACTGAGTGTCTCACCAATGCCTGTAACTCCAGCTCTAGGTGATCCAATACCTTTGGCCTTCTTAGATATCTGTATTCATTCATACATAGCCCTTCCCACACCTATAAACAATTAAAAATGAATCTTTAAATCCTTTTTCCTTCTCATTTATTATGTATATATGTGTTTTGCCTCATGTAAACATGCAGAGCCTGCAGAGATGAGACGAGGGCATCAGAATCTCCTAGGCCTGAAGTTACAGAAGGTTGTAAACTACCATATAAGTAGCTTGGGCTATGAAACCCTGTCTGAAAATGAGCAATCCAACCAACATGGCCTTGGTGTTCTTAGAGAATCTATAAGGAATTTCAAAGAATAATCCATTTTTAAAATGCATGTATCAAATGCTATGATTTTTTGTTTTGTTTTGTTTTTCAAGACAGGGTTTCTCTGTGTAGCTTTGCACCTTTCCTTGAACTCACTCTGTAGCCAAGGCTGGCCTCAAACTTACGGAGATTCGCCTGCCTCTGCCTCCTGAGTGCTGGGATTAAAAGTGTGTGCTAACATCGCCTGGCTAATTCTATGAATTTTTAAATCATACAATTACTGTGGTTATATATGTGGTAATGTTATTATAAAATAATACAGAAATGTCAGAGAAGAACCAAGGACACGAAGAAATAATGGCAAGTTAGAAGGACTAAAGATAAGCATGTTTGGCAAATAAGTCATCAGGTGAAGAACTAACTTTTTCATATGAAGAAAAACAATGAATAACCAAAAATGATCTGGAAACCCTGAATTACAATTTGAGTGTCCTTCTGAACTTACAGTGTTTCTCAATGTATACGAGCTAGTTATATATGGAAATAAGTATGTATAATTATTTATTTATAAACAAACAACAATAAAATCTTACCAGTTTTATTCTCGGGCTAGGGAAACAAGCCTCAAGTTATACACATATCCTGAGAACTTAGTTTCCAGTTAAATAAAAAAATTACTTTATTATTATTATTTTTACATTTGTGGGTGTTTTGCTTGCACATATGTCTGTGCACCATATGTGTGCCTGGTGCCTGAGGAAGCCAGAAGAGGATGTGGGTCCCCTGGAACTGCAGTTACAGATGGTTGTGAGCCACCATGTGGGTACTGGAAATCAAAACTGGGTAGGTCTCCTGGAAGAGCAGCCAGTGCTCTTAACCACTGATCCATCTCTCCAGCCTATAAGTGGCTCTTGTAAATGAACAAAACAATGAGTAAACCCGTGTTGTATTCTAGGATTTATTTCAATCAAAGCTCTAAAGCATAGCATGCAAATGACGAATCCTTTCTCCCTTTTTTCCTCTGTTATATAAAGTTAGGAAAGGGACAGATCTCAAATCCTCACAGCATGTGTGTTTAAGCAGGTGAAAACATCTAAAGGTTGACCTGTGGGCAGGGTTACAACATTAACAATCCTCCACTCAACTGTACCTCGAGGAACCAGAGATCAAGCAGCTTTTGGTGGGCCACACTGATCACCTACCCAATAAACAGGAAGATCCAAATGGTGTAGGAAGGAGGCAAACCAAATAAACTTATTTTAGAGTATCCAACTAAGCTGTATATTAAATAATGGGAGGAAAATAAAGGGACTTACCTGTACTGCCAAGCTGTTTATAAAATCTGTACTCTAAATGAAGTTGTGGAGCGCGTGATTTTATTGGTTCCTGAAAACCAAGAAGAAAAACTGTGGTCAAATTTCAACAAATGAGCTTCTTTTCCCCAATCTTAGATTTTCAGAACGAACAGGGCTAAGACCCTTTCATGTTTCAGAAACGATCTGCATATAACAGTGTTCTTACCACAGTTGTCTTTGGAAGTACAGTCAGAAGAAGATGAGCTGAATTATATGTAACCCCTTTCACGGGCAGTCAAAAACACACTCTCCATGAGCCATCACTCAAGGGTAGCTCTCTTGGTGTAAAATACTCTCACAAAATGTGTACATTCACCCATTTACCTTCTTTCCTTCTTTTACTCCCTGCCAATAAATCACTATGTAGCCCAGGATGACTTCAAAGTCTCAACCCTCCTGCCTCTCTGACTCCTGAGCACTAGGATTATAGGTGTGCACTACTGTGCCTGGTTTAGACAGCAAATCTTTTTTTTTTTATTTGTTTCTTCGAGACAGGGTTTCTCTGTGAAGCTTTGCGCCTGTCCTGGAACTCACTTGGTAGCCCAGGCTGGCCTTGAACTCATAGAGATCCACCTGGCTCTGCCTCCCGAGTGCTGGGGTTAAAGGCATGCGCCACCACCGCCCGGCCCATTATGCCACTTTCATACACATAGATAATGGAAATTTCACACACAAACCCTACTCCCCTCTCTAGCATCCCATAGGTCCTCTTCTTTTTCCCAAATAGTTCACTTTTTACTTTATGTGTTGTTGTTTTCCTTCTTAAAAATCTAGATTTCATGTAAAAAAAAAAAACCCACAAAACAAAACAAAAAACCCCCATCTGGTTGTTATCAGTCTTTCTAACAAAAATGGGACTCTTTCATGCCTTCAATTCTAGCATTTAGAAAGCTGAGGCAGAAAGATCATCTACAAGTTTGAGCCTAGCTTGAGCTATATAATGAGTTACAGGACATCTTATGCTATAGAATGAGACCCTGACTAAAAACAACAACAAAACCTAAACCAAATAGAAACAATAACAATAATGAAGAGTTTCTAAATCTTTATAGAGACAGCAGGCAAACAACCACATATTGTGCTACGTCACACCTAAGAACTGGCTGGTTAACTGTTCTGAACAGATGTGTGGCACTGGCAAATAGCTAACAAGGCAACAGAAGGCCATCATAAAAGATGTCAATTTGGTATATATAAATGATAGATTTAAAAACTACTACAAGATGGTTCTGACCTCTTTTTTAAAAACTCATTAACAGCTAAGTGTGGTATCACCTGCTTTAATAGGCAAGCAGATCTCTGAGTTAGAGGCCAGCTCGGTCTGCATAGCAAACTCCAGGCCTGCTAGAGTTACATGGTGAGACCGTGTCTCAACAAAACAAAACCACCATCAAAGAAACAACCCCCCCCCCCCAAAAAAAAACAAAAAACTAACTAAACAAACAGAATTCATCATCAAGCCAGGCATGTCTTAGTATTTAAGATGATGAGGTAGGAGGTTCTTTGAGGATAAGCTGGAGTATATGGAGGGCAGCCTGGGCTACAGAATAAGGGCCTTACTAACAAAACTAAAACAACCACCACAACCAAAACTTCTTGAACTTGTACACTCAACTAGGATGCCTACTATCAAAGCAGAAAGGTAGTTTAGTACTATGGAGAAACTAGGACCCTTCTGTGTTGCTAGCCTTAATTTAAAATGGTGCAGCTGCCAGCACGCCCTCTTTCCTAGCACTTGGGAAATGAAGTCAGGAAGATCAGGAATTCAAGGTTATCCTTGGCTACAGACAAGTTTGAAGAAAGCTTAAATTACATGAGAGCCCACCTCAGAAAACAAAACAAATAACTAGAATGATGCAATTGAAAATGTTGTAGCCAATCAATTCTACTTCTGGGTATAGATGATAAGCATGTGGCACCACAACTGGTTTTATGTGGTGGGGGGAATAAAAGTCAGGACTTCATCCATGCTAGGCAAGCATTCTACCGAGTTACATCCAGCTCCTCAAACACATCATATTTTGGCAATAGCAACATTTAAAAACTTCTATTTCAAGATACACAATAAATTATTGCTATCTAAAAAAAAGTCTGGCTTTTTCCCCCCCAGACAGGGTTTCTCCGTGTAGCTTTGGAGCCTGTTTGGAACTTGTCCTGGAACTTGTTCTGTAAACCAGGCTAGCCTTGAACTCAGAGATCTGCCTGCTTCTGTCTCCCGAGTGCTGAGATTAAAGGTGTTTGTTACCACTGCCTGGCTTCATTCTATGTTTTTCTTAGGACCCAGAGTCTATAAATCACAGAACTCAGAAGTTTCTTTCAAATTACCTAATTCACTCATTCTTTGCTTTTAGGAAATTTTAAGCTAAATAAAGTCAGACATTGAGTATTTTATATTCTCAAGGAACTCCATTAAAGAACTCACAGCATCCAACACTCACTACAGTTGAACTTTGTGTTTCCCAAGATTATCATAGTTAATTAAGAGAAACACACATAATACCTGATAGTCCCTTGACTGCTCTCTTCAGAATGAAGGGACTCTTCATTTGGTTACAGGTTACCTACTTTATCACCAATAAAATAGCCAGTTACAAAATGTGTTAATAGCAAAACTACCAGCAATAATTTCATGAGAAACAGAGAAGACAAAATGAGATGGAATAAGAACAGGAAAACTACTGCCTGGAATCTCTAGAGAATGGCAAAGCACAAGGAAAATGAATTTAAAAACCTTAGGATCTTTACTTGAATTTCATGCTAGAAACCTTAGAGGAAAATATGACCTTTATTATCTTAGTTAATGAAGAAAACAACAGTTAATTTTCATAGAATTTGTGTTGACAGTGAACTTATACCTTACACATATTCATGAATGACAGTGTTTTGTTAATCACAGGAATGCACATCCTTCAGCTAGTCTCCTGAGCACATGGCTGAAGACTATTCAAGCATATGGTTTCAGGACCTGTTCTGGAAGCATTAAGAATAGAAAGCCTTCCAAACATACAAAGAGCAGTGTAGAGAAAAGTAGTAAGATGAGTAACTTGCTAAGTAGCTGAGAATGACCTTGAATTCCAGATCTTCCTCTACCTCCTGAGTACGAGGACTGCAGCTATGAAAGAGACAGACACATTGGTTTTTGTTGTTGTTTTTCCGCAGGCATGACCTCTCATTCTATAACCCAGGCTAGCCTAGAACTTTCCGTGATCCTTCTGCTTCACCTCCCAAGTGCTGAAATTACAGATAGGAGCCATCATGCCCGGTTACTTTGTATATGTGTTTAAGATTTACTTTATTTTTATTTATGTATATGTGTTTCTATCTCTGTATGTGCATGTATGCGGTGTTGTCTGTGAAGGCCAGAAGAGGGAGCAGGATCCCTCCAGGCTGGATTCCAGGCAGTTTTAAGTTACCTGACATAGGTGCTAGGAACTGAACTCCAGTTCTCTGCAAGAACAAGTGCTCTTTACAGTTCAGCCACCTCTGCAGCCCCTACTTTGCATATTTTAAACAGTCTTCAATTATTTATTATAATGTGTGTATAAGAAAGGGGTATATGTGCCTCTGTGTGTGTGTATGTGTGTGTATGTGTGTGTGTGTGTGTGTGTGTGTGTGTGTGTGTGTGTGTGTGTGTGTATGTATGTAGGTTGGAGGACACTTTGGGAAGTTGGTTCTTTCCTTCCACATTTATGCAGGTTCTGGGTATTGAACTCAGGTTGTCAGGATTGCATGGCAAGCATATACACCTTCTGAGCTACCGCAATTGGCTCTACTGGGTGAACTTTTAAATGTTCTTAAAAACTAAAGGAGCACTGGGCAGTAGTGGCACAGGTCTTTAATCCCAGTACTTGGGAGGCAGAGGCAGGCGAATCTCTGTGAATTTGAGGCCAGCCTGGTCTACAAATCCAGTTCCTGGACAGCTAGGACTGTTATACAGAGAAACCCTGTCTCGAAACAAAATAATAAACAAAAAACAAAAAACAAGCAAAAAATTGGAGGATTCCCTCTTTAAAAAAAAAACAAAGAAACAAACCTAAACCTAAAGGAGCAAGAGCTACAATGAAGATCCAAACAAGGCAGAATTGATGTGCTGGTATACACCTTTAATCCCAGTACTTGGGAGGCAGAGGCAGTTGGATCTCTGAGATCAAGGCCAGCCTGGTCTACAGAGCCAGTTCCAGGACAACTGCAACTACACAGAGAAACCCTGTCTCAAACAACAACAACAACAACAACAACAACAACAACAAAGAAATAGCAGTACAAAGTTTCCTGCAATTCTGTAACAGATGTTGCTTGCCTATGAACAGAGAGCTGGCCATCTGCCAGAATCACGGCTATTCTGGAACACACAAGCCTGCCTGAAATTCTAGATTAATGGCAGATGGCTCTCTTACACAATGAAAGGAGATCAATTACGATTGCTCTATGTCCCTTGAATAAGCTCAACATTAAGGGATGAAACTCACAGATGGAATCGCTATATTCTAAGTAGGAATTCTCATTTCAGTCTTGCCTTCCTGCCTTCCTCCATCTTTCTTCCTTTGAACTTCCAGGACCCCACGCAGGTTATACAGGCACTCTACCACTGAGCTAGAACCCTAGCCCCTAATTCTACTTTTTATATTGGCTATACAAAAGAGAATAAAGCTTAATAAAAGGAAATGAAGGAAAAGTGAAATGTCTGTCAATGATATTACTAATATGTTATAGAAACATATTTATATAGGTCAAAGTGGTATGAACTTGATAGAAGAAATCTAGACAGAAAGCCCCAAAAGAAGCCTTGAAAAATAAAGGGACAATGTCAAATATATAGTGGTAATACAGAAATTTAAAGGTACAAGTTATCACATTGTTTTGGTTTTTTTTTTTTTTTTTTTTTTTTTTTTTTTTTTTTGCAAATGTTGTTTTGTTTTTAGTTTATTGAAACAGGGTCTCACTGTAACTTACTATATAGCCCGGGCTGACTTCCAACTTCAAATACTCCTACTTCAGCCTCCACAGGGCCACTAACACACTAGGCTTTGTTTGGAGGAGTGCTTCTTTTGTTCAGTAGCCTCAGAAAATTAAAGACATTTATTCTGTGTGAAACAGAAGAAGTCAAATGGCAAATGCACTAGAGTATACTTTCCCAGAACTAAACTTCTCTACAGAAAAACAAGTAGATAAACCCTTACTTGTCCATCTTAAAAGACATTTGACCTGCATCAGTACATGTGCTCTTTCTTTTCCTGCTCTGATTTCTCCACCAAGTCAAAGACCAACAAAAACCAGTGTAGTCACACAGTAATCCCAGCACCAAGGGTGCTGAAGCACAAGAGTTGCCATAAATTTACAGTCAGCCTGGCTACCCACTGAGAACTGGGTCAGCCAGGGCTACAAAGTGACCCTATCTCAACAAGAAAAACAAGCAGGAAAAAAGGGGAGGGGGCCGTGTGTGCTGGTAACATAGGCTGGTAGTTGAGTGCTTGTCCAGCACACATGAAGTCCCAGGTTCAAGCTGTTACAGCAAACAAGCCTGAGTATGGCGGCACAAACCTGTAGTCCCAGCACTTGAAGCAGAAGGATCGGATACCTCAGGTAACACTGAGTTTAAGACCAGCCTGAGTTACATGAAACACCTCAAAGGGAACAGAGCGGGGGAGTTTCAAAGAAATTGCCTGTTCTTAGTCCCAATACTTGTCTTCTCCTTTGGAGAGAAATTAACCTGGCAACTCTTTCGCAAAAGAATCCTAACAACCCACAAACTGACGAGCTAAATAAGATAAAAAGACTAAGCAGGGCCGTAGGGAATGTTTTTATGGGAGTTTGTATGGTTTGTAGAGACAGGGTCTCACTGTGTAACCCTGTTGGCCTGGAACTCACTATGAAGATCAGGCTGGCCTCGAACTCACAGTGATCTACCTGTTTCTGCCTTAAACTCAAACTCAATATAAACTCAAGGATGACACTGAACTCCTGATCCTCCTGTCTCCTCCTTTCAAGTGTTGGAATTAAAAGCATGTGCTGAAAACCATATGGTGCCATACCTGGTTTGGCAGGTTTTTTAAAGCAATGGTTCTCAACCTGTGGGTCATGACCCCCTCAGCAAACCTCTATCTCCAAAAAATATTTACATTATGATTCATAACAGTAGCCAAATTACAGTTATGAATTGGCAATGGAAATAATTTTATGGTGGGGGTCACTATAGCATAAGGAACTGTATTAAAGGGTTGCAGCATTAGGAAGGTTGAGAAACACTATTTTAAAGCATTGATGAGATAGTCAGACTTGGTTTTCTTTTGTTAAATATACTAATAAATGCCATACATTTAAAAAGCACATGTCACAGGGTAGTGGTGGTGCATGCCTTTAATCCCAGCACTAGGAAGGCAAAGGTAGGCAAATCTCCATAAATTCAAGGCCAGCCTGGTCTACAAGTTCCAGGACAGTCAGAGTTACACAGAGAAACCCTGTCTCAAAACAACAACAAACAACCAAACAAATAAATAAATAAATGACAAAAATAGATGGCAAGAAATGCTCATTGGTTTAGAGCACTTGTTCTTGAAGATGACCCAGGAACATGACTCAGGTTCAATTCCCGGCATTAGCAAGTTAGTTCACAACTATCCAGTTCCAGTTTTCTGGCCTCCATGGCACCAGGCATACACACAGTGTGCACATATACAATCAATTAAATTTTGACTCATCTTTGCTACCACTAGACTTGGTACCATTTATATGACATTACACAATATATAGTGTTTTATCATTATAACATCCTGATGGAGGAAAAATGACTATCTGGCATCATATGCACAGTAAAAACAGCATTAGCATTATTGTGAATGCCTACAACAACTTCCTGTAAGAAGACATTAGCAATGAAGGCATCAAAACACAAAGACCACAAACACACACATTCTACTCACCAGTTTAATGGCTACATATTCATTGGTGTAGAGATTTTTACCTAAGGGAAAAAGAGAATGTATATATTTAGTGACATTAGCTTACAAGGTCATGAGAAAGGTGGATTTTCTAACTGGTCTCCCATATATGAAGACAGAGCTAAGTGAAAAGCTAAACAGAGATAATGAGAACCAGCAGGACTAGGACAAAAACAGCTTGAGAATCTAAAAATGTAAGCTACACAAGAGACCCTGTTTTGCTTGTTTTAAAAAGGAGAAAACCAACCAAATCCACCCCCTCTTCTCTCCCTTATGGCCCCCCATACATGCAACCTTATTACTTCTCAATTATTATGGTATTAAGTGAACTGAAAAGAAATGCCACAATTTCAAAGATAGAAATTTAAACTTGGAAAAGGTTGGAGGCAGGAGAATCAGGAATCCAAGGTCATCCTTGGCTACACATTGAGTTTAAGTCTAGCCTGGGCTGCATGATCTCATGTCTCAAATCTCCCCCTACCTCTAGAAAATATTTAAGCACAGATCAGTAAGTAGTTAGGAGGTAGGATGAAATGAGAGATCTAATATTTAAGGAGAACCAAGGTGGTAGTTATGTGCACCAAAGGAATAAACCTGGATATTGTTGTGAACAAAAAGAGGAAATAAGTACTGTAGATGACAGAACAACCAGGGAAATCTCAGGAGTTGAATTTTCCCCTTTGACCTCCCTCCTCCACAAAGTTTCGAAGAACAAGCAGTATTTTAACAGCTGGAGAATGGGTAAGATCATTTCAGGGAGAGGAAACTGCAAAAACAAACAAAAATAAAGCAGGAGATGCTATAGACGAAGAGTGGTCCAGAGTCTGGGGGCTGGATGAAGACTGACAAGGAGAAGTTAAAACAAAAACTGGGAAAGGCTGTGGCTGTATTAGGAAAACCTTAATACTATTCTAGGTTTAAAACAAGATTTGGAAGTAATCACATAATCAGATCTATGACTCTGAAGGATTATGTATGAGGCAGCATAAAACTCAAGTAGAAAAGCAAGAGAGCAGAAGTACGGGGATGTAGCTGGATGACTTAACACCTATCACATCAAACACCACCATCCAAGTAAAGCTTCAGAGAATATACTCGAGCTCCTCACAGTCCTGTGTATTTGATGAAAACCTCGGCTAATAAATTATATAATGTGATGATGTAAAGACAAAAATCAGAAAAGTACATAGAAGAGTCTGGATAATAGAGGAGAAAGCACATTTGGGTACAACCAAGTGACCTAAAGAATAAAGGTCACTTCCTATATTTAAAAAAAAAAAAAAAAAAATCCAGGTTGGGCATGGTGACACACCTCTAACCTCAGGAGTGGGGAGTCAGAGGGCAGGTGGATCTCTATGAGTTCAAGGTCAGCTTGGTCTACATTAGCATTTCTAGGCTAAGAAGAGCTATATAAGACCCTATCCTATCTCAAAAGAAAGAAAAAAAAAACCTGTGATTTCTTTGAACACTGCATTAAAAAAAATGGTCCACACTTTTTAAAAAAGTGGTCTGATTTTTATATTATAAATTCACTTTAATATACATATTTTTTTCTTAATTCTACAAGTGAAAAAAAAAAAGGTTATTTGTTCTGCAGCTTCCTGACCTATTAGGATACACTCCTGGGTGTGTGTACTGCAGAGAAAATGATTCACATTCGAGGCTACCCACAGGTTGTCTCTAATGAACCTTTCTGGCTTCTTACCATTTCTTCTCATGTATCATATTCTCTAATTGTTTGAGTCCAGTCAGAATATCAGGTTACAATTAGGGGCATTTCCTCTTTTGTTTTTAGTGTGTGTGTGTGTGTGTGTGTGTGTGTGTGTGTGTGTGTGTGTGTGTTTTGTGTTACTGGGGATAGAATTCAGGGTCTTCCACATGCTAGGCATGCCCTGTGCTACTACTGAACAACATCCTCAGCCTGAAAGATTTTTTTTCCTTTAGAATTTTTTCCTAGGGGGGGGACAGAGGATCTCATTATGTAGCCCTGGGCAGCCTGGAACTAGCTTTTTATATGAGGTTCAAGAAGCTTAATAATACAAATGAACATCTAGTTTCTAGAAAATTGTAATGTCATCATCATCATCCATCCCCCCCTCCCCCCTGCTTTTTTATAAAGACAGGTTCTCACTATATAGCCCTTGTCAGCCTGGCCTGGCCTTGAACTCAAGAGATCCACATGCCTTAGCTTCCTGAGTGTTAGGATTGAAGGCATGTACAGCCATGCCCCACTCTATCTATCTATCTATCTATCTATCTATCTATCTATCTATCTATCTATCTATCTATCTATCTATCTATCTATCTATCTACCTACCTACCTACCTACCTACCTACCTACCTATCTATGTTTGGAGACAGGGTCTCAAAATGTTGCCAAGGTTAGCCTTGAACTCATAACAATTTTCCTGCTTCAGCCTCTCAAGAGCAGAGTGACAGGTACTGTCAGGTTTTTTCTTTCTTTCTTTCTTTCTTTCTTTCTTTCTTTCTTTCTTTCTTTCTTTCTTTCTTTCTTTCTTTCTTTCT